GCAACGGCGATCCACTGCTACTAGATGCGTAATCCTGTTAAGTGAAAGCTTCTTCCATTCCGTCAAGAACCGTTCGAACCGTTTGAACGCACCAGTAATTTTGCCGCTGTTTGACTTTGGTGTGTACAGTGTGATCCGATACCTTGGATGCTTTCTGAGAAATTCCTGAGATTCACATGTCGCGCTTATTTTTAGTGTGTTATCTACGGTCTATTCCATTCATTGGCAGTTGTTAATACAGATACAGTTTGTAGTAATCTTATCTGTATGGTTGTTGGGGTTACAAGTTTTCGAGACAGGGTACGATATACATATGCTTTTTTGCCTATAAGCACTTAGTTTGTTTAATGTTTTTAAACGGTGCAACTGTTTCTGTACGACATGGCGTTCTATAGTTGAGATAAATATAAGATTTTATTCATTATCGATCAGTGATTTTTTGAGTGTTTCAACGGGTTGAGACACTGGCCAACCAATGTGTTAGAAATGCTATATCGCCCTATACGTTTTGCTGAATATCACCTTAATGTTTCCAAAGTTCGCAGTAATTTCCCAGATTAGAGTGAACGGGCTGGAGCAATCGGCCAACTAAGTTACATACTCAACTCTATTTAGTCTACAGACGTTATTTGTAATATGAGACGGCTGTCGAGAGTGCCATATTTAGACAAGACAGAACAGATAGGTTGTTATTTGGCATTACTTTTTTCTTTATACCGAACTGAGTTTTCATCAAGTCTTCGCATCAGTAATTTAGTCTGCCAGTGTACAGCGTGTGCCTTTCTGTGTATACTTGTGCTATGTTTCTGTAACATTCTAAATAATTTCTCGATTAAGGAATCAAGACAGAATAACCATGTATTGGGCTGTTGTAAGCTTTAACAATGTACTCATAAGAACACTAAATTTTGAAGGTCAGTCATGTCATTACATCAGAAAATTTCAAGGGCTCCCTAATGCAAATTTCTTGTGTTATTCAAATGACACTCCCAGTTACTGATTAAGTAACACTTTAGTAGACCCAGTCTTTCATCCTTACTCGTAGTATAATGCTTGATTTAATAATTTGCTTCATTGCCGTTAAAACATCCTGCTTCGGTCTGGCCCCCGGGCAGTATCACAGCCCACACACATAAAATGAAATTTTGTATGGCGCATATATATTTGGTGCCCTCTTGTGCCGTATTTATGTGTTCAAGTAATAATAATATAATACTCTATAATAGGTGGCAGTTACTAGATAGTCAGAAAACTAGTGGCTACATGGTTTCTACTTAAAATTGAAGGGATGCTGGCACGAGAAAAAGTCGATAGATTTCGTCTCTTCATATCACCCATATTTCGTTCATTCAACCCTTAAGGTTTTCATTGTTGGTAGAAACCTTCTACAACGCAAACAATAAAAGGGAAAAAGGGCGAACTTCAGGTAAATGTCTTTTTGAGAGATCGGTGTGACTATACACAACAATGCATCAAATCATTATCTTTTTCCCAGACTGGGATAAATACTGGAGAACAATAAACTAAAGCGGGTTGAGCGTCATTACCTATCATTGTTGGCAGAGTTTTAGAATAAAAGTTATATCACCTAGATGATTCTGTCAACTTGGGTTTCGCAGAAATGCAAGATGTATACAGCTGGGTAAAATATCCCAAATTTAGACTGTACGAAACTCCTACTTCTCCAGTTGTCAAGTATGTTATTGATTCAAATATGTATAAATAAGCTTAACCAAAGTAGAGTCGTTTCCATCAACCAGTGCTTCGACACCTAGTAACGATGCAATCTAGGACGAGTAAGTTTAGTTTGAGGCCGAATTTAGTTTGACAGCATACAATGATGGCATGAGATTGTAGAGTCCTAGCGAAGAAAGTCAGGAAACCATAAATAATACTCAAACGCAAATCATTAGCACTGGTGGCGCGTGATGATAAGCGAGAAGGGTTGATTATTAGGATGGAAGAATTATTAAGAGTTGAGTGAGGGGTTTTGTCGTGATTAAGATAACCTCAGGCGCTGACAAGGGTATACGGGTAGTTGCTACTTCCCAGCTGTCCATACCGTGGAAGGATATTCCCTCTTGAGACCTGGAAAGAAGGCTGAGTTGGTGATGGGCTTAGTGACCGGGCAGTGTGACCACAGAGTCCAACAACTGCTTGTGGCAGGTCACGCACGTAATATTTTAATATTATCGACAACTGTTTGTGCAGAATTCGCTGATGAATCGTCTTCATGTAAACCACTTTATTATGTTGGGTGCGCAGATAGTTTGGTTGCTCTTGGGAATTAAAAGGGAGCTCCCGAAGTAGTTGGGCGGTACAAAAGTGATTTGTTGAGTCTTGCAAAGTGTTGATTGTTTTACTTGTTTATTCTTGATAAAAATGGACAAATTGGTGTTAGTTTTGAGGAAGGTAAAAGTATTAGTTACGAGACATGTCAGTGGGGTAATTTTGGAGAAAATCCGCATCATTTACGCCGGGCTGCGGAAAAGTGATAATTTGATGCATTGTCGCTTATATTCACAACGACTTATCGTAATGATTTTCCCCAAAGTTCGCCTTTATTCCCCTTTTTTGTTTACTTTTTGTTGTTAGAGCTGCGAGCTGAACATATTATATAACCCGTAAAAAGGACTTTTTCCCATTTAATCCGTCGAGCTGTATTAAAATAAGTAGATTAGATAATGGTTTAACTAAACAGAATACTTTTGTTTGTTCTGCCGAAGGACTTTTTGATTTCGTCTGATTCGCGAATATCTGGTATTGGACACTTATTTGTATCAGCTGTATTTTTTAATACCAACCTGCATTAGTGACATGGTGCTAGCAGTTGATGCGTCACTTTATTAGCCACTAATGAGTTTACAGACACATTTTAGTTACTTCGGTGGTAATGTTAGTCCCCACAGAATAGCTGCTTAACAAAGCAGTTTCTAAACTTATCTACTACATAATCAGTGATTCCGACTCGTGATCGATCAAGTATTTCATAATCACTTAAAAGTCAAGCTTAGCCAGCGCCTTGACAAGTACATACTTTTCTCAAAGAAGCCTCTCGATATTTGCGCCTATATACATAAAGTCAGACGTTTTCATTAGTAGTCTAGCAATGGAGGGGAATAAAACAGATTTTCAGGAGGTTAATATACTTAACCCATTTCTCAGATTCTATTTGGTTTGATATTCGTTTATACTGAATGTTTTTAAGATAAACATTTTGGTGAATTTTCCTCTTTTTAATTGTGGTAAGACTGACTTATTTTTTCCAGATAATTTTGGGATCGAAATATGAGCAAAGATCATAAGCCACGCGTTCGCAAACGGGCAACACATATTGTAACTGATTCGAGGCCACGGCATAATTATGGAAGTGAGAAACCACTGTTTGTCTATTCATGTATCTGTGGCCAAATGTCACTGATAATTGACTGTCTAGTAGAGAAACTACCAAGGCGTCCTAGAGATGATGCTAGAGTTATTGATGGATCCAAACGTGCTCATAAAACAACAGCCACGGCCGTTAATCCACTCGCTCCAATTTATATACGTTGGCCAAATGGGATAGAGAAGCAGTTCCGCAGGTATTGCAAAAGCTGTGGATTACCAATCTTTTATCGTCACAGTGCAGAAAATTCAACGGTAATTTTCGATAAATATAAAATATTCTCACGGTTCAAATTAGGAATTTATCTTAGCTAGACAAATTACTATTGAAGACTTGAAATCATCAGGGAACTGTCTCGTCCTTGTGTGGGACTCCTCAGAAGTGTGTGCCAACAATTCCGCACTCGGGAATCGAACCCAGGACCTTCGAACTCTAGACCACTAAGTGGACATCAATCCACAACGTTTCACGGTGATCTTCTATTGTTTTCGGCGAGCAACTACCTCACGCGACACCGTTTAGCTCCACTGGTCACGGCTCCTCACTAAAACTCCAGGAGTTTCCGCGTACAGGGTCGTTGATGGGCACTCCCGATAGGTCCCACAGTATTTATTATTTATTTATTTAAACATAAACATTGGCACAAGGAGGCACCAAATAAATATGCGCCACATAAATCATTCGATTTATGTGAGGGCTGGGTTACTGCCCAGGTGCCCAAACCGAAACAGGTAGTTTTCTCAGGGGGCCAATCCCGAGCGTCTGACCTGAAGGTTTAATCCACAAGGCAGTGGAGCAACGTATGAAGAGGCAATCCCATGGTACCCAGTGACCAATTTTTTTTATTTTATTTTATTTTAACACATAGGTAATGGTACAAGGAGGCACCAAGTACATATGCGCCACACGAATCTCAATTGATTTGTGTGAGGGCTGTGATACTGCCCGGGTGCCCAAACCGAAGCAGGCAGTGACCAATAGGTTAATGCGCTATTTGTTTCCTTAGGATCACGGAGACCATGTACACCATTGGTTTGGAATCAGGGTTTTCCAACCCCTCTAGATGGATCCTCTGTATCCACCAACCCAGTTAAAGCGCCGAACACTCGAATTTTGTCCTCTCAATTTCACAAACAACAGCAATGTTTTGAGAATGCAGTGAGTAGGACTTCCTTGGCAGTGGTTGTATGTACGTGGTTATGTGAGAGTATTTCAAGAGGGCTGACTCTGCCTTATAATAAACCAAAGTATATCATCTTGGATAAAAATTATGTATCAAAGTCTTGTATAAACCCTTCTTAGACTACAATGCTTTATCGGAGTGATAGCTAACCACCAAGAAAAAACCCAGACACCATCTAAGGTTTCGAAATCAGATTTTCCTTATAGATCAAAACCGAAGTTAATAAACTTAGTTAAGTACTTTGTACCGTAAGACTCAAATATATTTGTCATCAAAGTACTCAGTGGTTGCAAGGAAGTGAAGAACTAACAGGCAAACCTGACAATCGTGATGCTAATACACTTGCTTTCCGTCTTGTCTTTGAAGATATTCTGCCAATCAACAAAACTTTAAAGAAATTTTTTAATTACTAACTGCATTCATTATCGAAAGAGTTAAAACATTCTTATGTTTCTAGCATGAGATCACTAATAAATTACGCGTATCTGCATACAACTCAGCTCCGAACACACAAATCTGTAACCACTTATCGAGTTACATTAATAGAAAAGTGATAATGTGGGTTCCGTTTTAGTTGTTTGTAACAAAAATTTAACCCTTGATTTATGGTAAAATTTTGATAAAAAGTGTAGTTCTCCACAGTTCCTGCACATTTTGTGAACAAAGTGCAAAATTTTGTACCTCCTCATAGTTAACTGACTGATTTGCCAGGTTTGAGTACCTGTCTCTGATACTGCTGGTTTAACCAAACCAGAGCAGTTGAACCAGTATTGTAATCTGTAACCTAATGATTGAAGGCTAAGTTCTTTAGCCAATAGGGGGCAGTTTTTACATATCATGATCGAGACCTTTCTCCGAATCCGGAAAATCATGTTTTTGTAGTTTAAAACCCGTCATTCAACTCACATTAAGATGTAATTTGTTTTATGAGTTAATGTGTTATTTTTCATTATTAGTAAAGCCACTTCACCTTAGCGTATATAATTAATAATTCACTTTAGCGTCAATCATGTTTACGTAATAATTCATGGATAGTTGACATACAAACATGCTAGCAGGTATTACTCGTGGTATTAAATACTTTATGATCCATGTGTATGATAAGTAGCTGATTTTTTATCAGTCCCTTGATTCTAAAATTACTTTCTCCTTTGATAATGCGTACACTTACATGTGATGATGGACAATTCTATCTGACTCCGAATTTCAAGTAGGTGAAGTGGTTTGAAACGTCGTAATCCAAAGGTTGCCCTGGTACGGCCGAGAGTAGGGAGAGTCCGCTCTCCCTCTCGAAATGCTCTCACATGGCCACGCGTACATAGCCCCTGCCAGGGAAGTCCTTCACGTGGCGGGGGTGTTGTCTACGAAAATGAGAGGACGAAAAGCTAATGTCCGGCGCTTTAACCGGATCCCAAACCAATGGTGCACATGGGCTCCAGTATCCTGAAGGAACAAATGGCGTATGAACCAATCGTTGGTCACCGGCTACCATGAGACTGCATCTCCTCACGATGCTCCACTGCCTTGTGGGTCAGACGTTCAGGTCGGAGGCTCGGGGTGTGACCCCTAAGAAAACCACCTGCTTCGGTTTGGGCACCCGGGCAGTATCACAGCCCTCACACAAATCAATTGCGACTCGTGTGGCGCATATGTATTTGGTGCCTCCTTGTACCGATACCTATGTGTTAAAATAAATAATAAATAAATACTACTAAATGATACTTGCATTTGTCTTGTTACTATTCGAATAAAGAATGCTCAATCATCCACTGTCTTATTATTACAACTAATCACGTGGTATATATCTTTTTTCATTCAAATAGACTGAATTTATTATAAAGAATGCATTAAAACTTCAAGATGATCAAGCTGCATTATCTGCATCTATGTTATGTCCGAAACGACCAACTGCTGCGAAGCATATTGATGAAAGCTCTGCTAATGCCAGATTACTTGAAGCATTAGCTGCTGAGGCGGCTGCCCTACAGCAAAATGAAGCCTCGAATAACGCACCATTGCGTCGAAGTGTTCAACAACAAGAAACTACTCAAGGCATTGATACCGCTGTCACTGTTTCTACTATTGAAGATGAAGAAGAGGAAGCCGAAGCAAAAGAGATAGCAGATTCGTATGCAGCCAATGCTCGTGTCATTGAACAAGAAATGATTCGACGTGGCATCATAAAACGCCGTTTGGTTGATGAGGTAAATAGATTTACGCAGTCATACACCATTTTTAGATGGGTAGTTTATTTACTGTTAAAAGTCTATTAATGGATATTTAATATTTAATTTAATATTTTTCCCAAGAGAATTAAATAAATAATCTTAAGAGTACTATTTATCATTAACTACTTAAAAGTCAAGTTCATATTTTGCAACTCCTAACTAGTTGAGGCTCCAATCAAAACAGTACTTAATTCAACCTAGGTGGATTCCAAATTGTATATTATGAATCTTCATTTCCACAAGTTGTATACAATCAACGTCATTGTCATGTATGATTGTCAGAGAGGTTTAATATCATAATATTTATGGATCCTCGCTGAAAATGTTTTTTATGTTTGGAAGTTGGAATTATTCACTAACGTTTAATATCAAATGATAATACTTTTTTTAAGTAAATTAGTGTTGATTTCACTGTTGCGTCATTGATTAAAAATTAAGGAAAATTGTGATTTGAATATTTCTATAGACTATATAGAACAGGGCACCTAGTTAGAATTTCACTTCACTTATCACGTTCAAAGTTATAAAGATATAATTTTCAAGTTTGTGATTTTTAAAGGCACAACATACTTGCCATTAAGGCGGTTATATAACGATGACAGTATGTTATCTGTGTTACAGATAATTATCTTGAAGCTTTTAATTTGGTTTTTTAATTTGGTCTGGCCCCCAAATACCCTGGTATGGCCGAGAGCGGGGAGGGTTCGCCCTCCCTCTCGAAATACTCTCACACGGCCACGCGTATACAGCCTCTGCCAGGGAAGTCCTACTCACTGCCTTCTCGTGGCGGGGGTGTTGTTTACGAAAATGAGAGGACGAAAAGCGAACGTCCGGCGCTATAACCGGATCCCAATTCTATGGTGCACATGGGCTCCAGTATCCTGAAGGAACAAATGGCGTATGAACCAACTTTTGGTCACCGGCTTCCATGGGACTGCATCTCCTCACGATGCTCCACTGCCTTGTGGACTAGACCTTTAGGTCAAAGGCTCGGGGTGTGGCCCCCTAAGAAAACCACCTGCTTCGGTTTGGGCACCCGGGCAGTATCTCAGCCCACACACCAAAACATGATGAAATATTCGCTTACGGAAAATATTCGTTCTTCTCTGACTAACATTGAAATGACTGATACTATTATTATTATTATTGTTATTATTATTATTATTATTATTATTATTATTATTATTTACTACGTCATTTACTCACTATCTCCTATTTCTACTTTTTGTATCCGTTTCGACTCAGACAGCAGCTCGCCTATGGTAAAAATTCAGCTTTATCTAAACGTTCTCGAGTCACTGCCTGGTTTGAAAATTGTATGTTACCATCGAATACGAGTACTGAAGCAGTCTTTCTGAAACCACGCGCACCATTCAAACTGGCTGCCTTTAACGTTCGCACACTTATGCAGGTCGGACAACAGATAGGGCTGGCAATGTCTTTGGAAAGTCTTAATATTGATGTGTGTTGTCTATCCGAGACCCGTATTCAAGACTCTGGTGAAGTACTACAAGTTCGCTCTCCATCTGTCGCTCCAAAAAGCTTGTTTTACGTGCGTTTATCCGGGGACCCTGTGGCATCTTCGTCTGGTCTTGCTGGCGTTGGTGTCGCACTAAGCGCAAGAGCTGAGGCAGCACTAGTCGACTGGATCCCCATTAACAGTCGGTTATGTGCTGTTAGATTAGAAAGTACCATCAGAGTGAGAAGAAATCGGCGTGAGAAACGATGTCTTTTCGTCATCTCCGCCTATGCCCCGACAGATTGCAGCCCGGATGCAATCAAGGATGAGTTCTACCACCAGTTATCTGTTCTTCTCCAGAAAGTGCGTTCGACAGATATTGTAGTACTAGCTGGAGACTTGAATGCTCAGGTCGGGCGTCTAGGCACAGAAGAGAGTCGTTTAGGTGGCCGATGGGGACTCGTTGGTCGCAGGACAGATAACGGGGAACGTCTACTGCAACTATGCACAGACCACAACCTGTTTCTGGCTAGCACTAACTTTCGGCACAGTCATCGCCGATGTGCCACCTGGCGTCCCCCTTCTGCATCTCAAGCCTGGACTCAGATTGATCACATCGCGATCAGCTACCGCTGGCGCGGTTGTGTACAAGACTGCCGCTCCTTTTGGAGTACCTATCTGGAATCTGATCATGCTCTGGTCTGCGCCAATCTTACCTTACTTTTCAGTGGACAACGAAGTGACCGCCACCACAGGATTGATGTTAGCAAGCTGGCTGCAACTTCTGTTGCTAGTAAGTACCGAGCCGAGCTAGCTTCTAGGCTAGCCACTATTCCACCGAAAAGTATAGATGAGCATTGGTTGCAATTGCATGACGCCATGAAAATGGCGGGTCAAGTCAGCTGTGGGATTGCGAAACGTCCCGCTTACAAGCACTGGGTTTCTTCTGGTTCCTTACAACTGATTGAAGCCCGTCGGTCTACTCCGGGTGACCGTGAGTTTGACCACAGACGAAGGTTGTTACGTAATGAAATCGGGCAAAGCTTGCGTAAGGACCGAGAAACCTGGTGGTTGGAGCGTGCCAGTGAGTTGGAAGCAGCAGCTGCATCTGGTAATTACCGGAAGCTCTTCCAACTCATCCGAGCCACCGGCAGCAAGAAGTCTGGTGTGAGCGAAACAATCTGCGAGGATGACGGAACGCCAATCACTAACATCCATCGACGTCTTGGACGATGGGCAGAATTCTTTGAAGGGCAGTTCAACTGGCCTGCTGCTCCGGCAACATCAGTCAGTCAGTCAGCTGCAACGTAGGACCAGGCACGTATATGCATCGGTCCAAGTTGCCATACCGCATTAGCACAACAAGATGAACACCGGATTCATAGGAGTAGTTAATTCAGTGGTGGTAATATATAGAAGAAAGATTGTGTATAAGGAGATAGTACAGGAAGAAAGAATTAGTTCCTAGACAGATATGAAGCGATTTTAATCTCTTAATTTAAGGAAGACAGAGAGTGTATACACCGACGCCATTGTGATCGATTCTGAGCCATGTCACCAAGAGTCTCCAACCATTGGTTACGATAGTCACGCGGACCCAAACCAGGCAGTCTGAATCTCCCAACATGACTCAGACCAGAAGTTAGTGACTTCAAGCACTGATGCCACGTTTTGGTTTGGCCGCCCCTAACTTTCTTCCAATTATCCCCTGCACTAGTCAGCATTGCGCGTCGTGGTAATCGGTGTTCAGACATACGCAACACGTGGCCCAACCATCTCAGTCGATGAAGATTCATAACCTCATCAACTGATTTACCATCATTCCCTAATACCCTGCGTCTAACCTCACTATTACTTACCCGGTGATCCCAGCAGATACCCGCAATATTTCTAAGGCACCTGTGGTCAAATACTAGTAACTTACGAATATCTTCCACTCTTAAAGGCCATGTTTCGCAGCCGTATAGAAGGACGGAACGAACTGCCGCGCAGTATACTCGTCCCTTAATTGATAGACGGATATCTCGCCTGCGCCATAGATGACGTAGGTTGGCAAAAGCCAAACGAGCTTTTCGAATCCGTGCTGAGATTTCGTCAAACACCAACCCATTAGGGCTGATCAGACTTCCAAGATAAGTGAAGTTATCAACGCGTTCGACTACTTCACCCCCTATCCTTAGTTCAGGTGTTGATGCAGACCAGTCCTGAAGCAACAACTTGCATTTAGAGGGAGAAAAGCGCATCCCAAACAATCGGGCATTGTTGCTCAGTGCTAACAAAAGACTCTGCATTTCGTCAGCGTCTTCACCAAACAGGACTATGTCATCTGCGTATTCCAAGTCAATAAGTGGACCTCCTGGTAGGAGATCAATACCCGAGAAGTCAGTCGATGAGAGCGTTATTTCCATCAGGATGTCTATGATAAAGTTAAACAAAAAAGGACGCCACTTGAGGTTGCAAAAGCAGATGACAGTTCGCCATAGGCTCTGACCCGACTAGTAGTGTTCGAGTAAAGAGCCTTCACAAGGTTTATGTACTTCTGAGGTACGCCTTTCAATGACAGACACTGCCACAGAACCTCTCGGTCAACAGAGTCAAACGCTGCTTTTAAGTCAAGGAATACCACCATTGTCGGACGCCGATAAGTATGCCTGTGTTCTAGAACCTGACGAATGGTGAATATGTGGTCGATGCAGCCACGACCAGGTCTGAAGCCAGCCTGATTTTCACGTGTTTGCAGCTCACGAGTTTTAGTTAGGCGTCCGAAAATTATCGAAGCTAGTATTTTAGATACTATATTAGTCAAACTAATCCCTCTGTGGTTGTCACAGGATGATTTTGACCCTTTCTTAAATATTGGGACGATAAGTGATTGTGACCAGTTAGATGGAATAACGTCTAACTCCCAGATTTTAGCTAAAATATTAGTCAACCTAATCGCTAAGACTAGACCACCATCCTTAAAGACCTCTGGGGCCAATCCATCTGGACCAGCTGCCCGTCCTCGTTTCAGATTAGCTATAGCCTTTTGAACTTCAGCTAGAGTTGGGGGACCTACTTCAATGTTCCATTCACACTGTCTGGGAATAGAGGGTAGTTGTAGAGTAGCTGAAGGCCAGCTAAACTGCTCCTTAAAGTGTTCCGCCCATCGTTCTAAGCGTCTGGACTGGGAGCAGATGAGAGTGTCGTCTTTTTCCGAAATAGTCTGACTTACACTTGATTTATTAATTCCAGTTTCTTTTATTAGTCTGTAGAGTTGTCTTGTATTCCCTATAGCCGCCGCCTTTTCCATCTCTTTTGCTTTCGTTGCCCACCACTGCTCACGATCATTCTTTAGACTTTTGCTTAATCTAGATCTGATTTCTTTACGCTCTTCATCGTATTCAGAACCTGATGGGATGAGTTTGCGAGAATCTATCAGTGCAATAGACCTTGAAGAAATCCATTGGTTATTTGTAACCATTTGGTTTAAATCACTGGTAGATGTCACTGCTGTTTCCACAGCTGCTTGTATAACTTTCCAAGCAACATCTGGGTCAGTCTCGTTTTCAGAACTACCTAAGTGTGACCTCAGTTGTTCCTGGAACCTACTTTTGGCTTTCTCATTACTCAATTCGGTTCTAATGAGTCTTTTTTGTGTGGCTCTTTTGCGTCCAGTGAGGCGCAAGCAGATGCGTGCTCGTACTAGGGCATGATCAGAGTCCAAGCAGGTACCCCAGAATGAGCGACAATCTTCTATTGACCCTCTCCAACGATGACTGATGGCAATATGGTCTATTTGAGTCCATCGTTGGTTTGGTGCAGGGGGTCGCCATGTTAGACGATGTCTCTCCTTATGCTTAAAATTTGTGTTTGCTAAAAATAAACGATTGTCTGAGCACAGTTGCAGCAGACGATCACCATTATCTGTTCGCTGTGCCGGAATACTAAAATACCCACCTAAATGTCTTTCTGTTTTGTTTAAGCTACCTACCTGGGCATTAAAGTCACCTCCTACGAGTACTATGTCTGAACGTTTAGCTTTCTGAAGAAGTTCAGACAGCATTCTGTAAAATTCATCTTTCACTTCATCCGAACTGCAGTCAGTGGGAGCGTAGGCAGAAACGACGAAAAGGCAACGACGTGTGTCCCTATCCTTCCGAGTTCTTACCGAGCCGTTTAGCCGAACAGCGCATAGACGACTGTTAACGGGGATCCATTCTAATAGCGCTTGTTCCGCCCTCATGCTAAGTGCTATGCCTACACCTGCCAGTCCACGAGAACTAGCCATCGGGTCGCCAGATACACGGAGGGTGTATCTCGTTGGCTCTCCGTTTTGCCGAGGTGAGGTCAAGTGAATGACCACACTAGGATCCTGTATGCGTGTTTCGGAGACACAGCATACATCAATGGTACGAGATTCTAAGGTTTTAGCCAAGGAAGCCTGCTGACCGATTTGGCATAGTGTGCGTACGTTGAAGGCTCCAATGTGTAGTTTGGAGCGAGGTTTCAGTAGACCTGGGACAGTGTTTTGAGCATTAGAATCGTTGGCTGTGGTGACACTTGAGGAGGAAGCTAATAGAGGAAGTTTAGTGTATAAAGTCGATGTAGGAGGAATAATAGGAATTGAAGAGGGAGGTTGACTATGAATACAGTGGTCTTGAGTGCTGTTAGAGGTATGAGGGCGGTTATCACTTCCCGGTTGCCCACACCGTGGAAGGGTTCTTCTGGAGGTACCTGAAAAGGAAATTGGATTAGAGTTGGTCATTGTGACCTGAGAGCGTGACCGCAGTGCCCAAGGGACAGCTGCTTGAGGTCGGTCACACACGACCTTTTTATGAGTGATTTTTGTGTTAGCTCCGTACTTGTTGAGTCCTTACCGCCGGAGACGGATATCCGTGGGATAAGGCGAGGTGTGCATTTTTAGGGTCGATCTTTCCTAACCCCACCCCTCCTTGTGGGAAGGCAGCATCGCTGTCATGCTGGTTATCTGGAGGAAACACCTTACTGCTGTCACACCTCTGTACAGTCAGCAGTACGACTTCGCCTTCGGACCTTGGTTTTGTTGCTTTTAGTCTTACCGCTCTTCAACCGACCTGTCTGGCATGGTAGGACCTTGAGGAACGGTTGTTCCAGCCAGTATAGCTCAGTTGCTTCATCACGATAGGCAAGCCCGACCACCACGTCAAGGTAGCAACAACGGTCAGGGTCCGGCAACATCGGTCAGACTGTCCTGCCCTCCTTGGCCGGTGACGACTGATCCACCAAATGAGGCGGAAGTCCGCAAGGAACTCCAACTCTTGAAACGTTACAAATCACCAGGCCCAGATGACTTACCCCCGGCTCTTTTTAAAGATGGTGGTGACTTTCTGACTAAAGGACTGACGACGTTGTTTACAAAGATCTGGGAACTAGAGAGTGTACCAACGTCATGGAATGAGTCGATAGTTGTCCCTATCTTTAAAAAGGGTTCACGTTGTTCCTGTAACAACTATCGGGGGATAAGTCTACTTCCGATTGCGTCCAAGCTATTGGCTTCCGTCATACTTCGTAGGTTGTTCAGAACCCGAGAAGGATTGACTCGCGAGGAGCAGGCTGGGTTTCGTTCTGGTCGAGGATGTATTGATCATATCTTCACCCTCCGCCAAGTGTTAGAACACCGCCATACTTATCAAAGGCCAACAATCGTAGTGTTTCTTGATATCAAGGCTGCTTTCGATTCGTTGGACAGAACTGTTCTCTGGGATTGTCTATTGAAGAGGGGTGTGCCTGAGAAGTTTATTAACATCCTAAAAGCCTTATATACAAACACCTCAGGCAGAGTGAGGGCATACAACCACCTTTCTCCACTATTCCATTCAAGCAGTGGAGTTAGGCAGGGTTGCCCAATCTCACCATTCCTCTCCAACTTTGCTATCGATGATGTTCTGGAAACAGCTCTAATGGATGTAGGTAGTGGTGGTGTGGATCTATTGCCTGGAGAAAGACTTTTCAATTTTCAGTAAGCGAATGATATTATCTTACTGTGCGAGAATGCCCAAGCCATGCAATCCGCACTTAATCAGTTGGCAATTAATGTCCGTAGGTATGGTATGTGCTTTGCACCTTCGAAGTGCAAAGTTCTTCTACAAGACTGGCAGGACTCTAATCCTGTACTCACTCTGGATTGTGAGCAGATAGAAGTAGTCGAGAAGTTCGTGTATCTGGGTAGCTGCATAAGTGCTGGTGGTGGTGTGAGTGATGAGATCAATGCACGTATAGTGAAAGCCAGAGCGGCTTATGCCAATCTGGGCCATCTTTGGCGCCTTCGTGATGTTAGTCTGGCTGTAAAAGGTCGGATCTACAACGCGACGGTGAGAGCAGTTTTGCTCTATGCTTGCGAAACCTGGCCTCTCCGAGTTGAGGATGTTAGACGACTCTCTGTGTTCGATCATCGTTGCCTCCGAAGGATTGCTGGCATCCAGTGGCAACACCATGTCAGTAATGCAGAGGTTCGGCATCGAGTGTTCGGTCACAGAGACGATAATGAAATTGGTGTCACCATCTTGAAACACCGACTTCGGTGGCTTGGACATGTTCTACGAATGTCGTCCCAGAGAATTCCTCGTCGTGCATTATTTGCCGACTCTGGGACTGGTTGGAAAAAGCGGAGAGGTGGTCAGTATATGACATGGTGTCGTGGTATGAAAGAAAGCTGCAAAGGGCTAGCTTATGTTGGTCCTTCACGACTCCCTGGTTGGGGTCCGAGAGATGGTGTAACGCAGTGGCTAGAGACGTTATCAGATATGGCTCAGAATAGAAGCCAGTGGCGATCCTGCTGTAACCTTCTTTTACTTTCTTCATAAAAAGGTGGTCGTATTCTTCCTTAACTGAAAGATCTGTTCTGATTGTACCTTTCCGTTTCCCCCACCATTGTTCTCTCTCTCTTCTTTTTTTTATAATTCCCCACGTTCATTACTTTTTTTTTCTTCTCTTTTCTCCTTCTCTTCTAATTATCACTGTTTTGTGTGGCGCATATATATTTGGTGCCCCCCTGTACCAATATTTATGTGTTCAAATAAATAAATAAATAAATAATTTGGTTTGCCAACATATATAATAAATTTTTATTGTCATGAGCATTAACAATAATAATACATAAGTTCAAAATAATTATCAGAAAACTTATTACAGTTCGATGTGAACTCATCAATTCTATGTTTATTTAACAGGCCAATGAAGAGGCTCAACAAAGGCGAATTCGAGGGACGTTAATTGAAAAGCAATAATTCTTTCTATAAAGAACAAAAAACCACTACGAATCTATGGTTGATTTTTTATTTCTGTAAATAAGAAATTATGTTATAGTGTGGTTTTCTTTAGTTTCAGAACCAAACTATTTCTAAATAACTACAATCCTTTTCAATTGATTAATACTGATTTTTTTAAAAAGTGTCTTTTCCCAGTCACGTCATTTGTTCTCAATAAAAATTTATCCATCGAGTCAATCAGAAATGTATGCTGTATATTAAATTTGTGTTATCTGTACAGAAGCAAACGCTGCCTGATAGCAGAAAAAACTGTCCACATGTAGTATCTTTTAATACAAAGTTCCTTGTATGATTGTCAATATCTCTCTTATTACAACCCCAGGACTCTTCAACAAAAATCTACGATCTTGACGGGACTGATTCTCTTCGTATGATTCAGTTCCGTATCATAGGCAGCGAGGTGTCCACTGAGATATTCAGGCCAAGACTAATATCGTAAAAAGATCAAAATATTTACAGTAACTGATCCCAGAGTAATGACCACTGTGGCTTTCATTTAGGCCTTATCTATTGGTTAAATATAACATTAAATTACCACCGTTCTGCTCGTTTGAACTATTTGTTTAATTCTAGTCGACCAAGTGAAGTACGAAGATTAAAAAGCAAGCTCTTAGTTTTCAAGATGTTTATGTCCTGTGGATACGACTCAAAGTTGTATGTTCAGTATATTTTTCCGTTAAAAGCAGTATGATTAAGAGGTTTTCCTTGATAGCCCTGTTGATCTGGTACATTTGAAATTTTTAGTCATCGTCGTTGGCAGACGAAATATGAATTTTAAGGACCATATTTATAAGTGGAATTTTTGTCATGAAAGTACTTAGTAACAAATAAAGTCGGCGAAAAAATCACTGAGATGCCTCGACTAATTGGTCGACAAGCACTGAAGTACATTTTGCTTCTGAAAACCTTAACTGGAATAGACAGTAGATGGTCAACTAGTTTTGAGTACAACAAAACCCATAGAACACCTTGACATGATGTTTATAAACTAAAGATTAATAATGAAAAATCCCCTTGAAGTTACTAGTTATCAACAATGTGCAGAACTTGAGGTATTAGACAAAATATTTGATCTGTGATATTATGTATACATTTGTGTGTGTGTGTGTGTGTGTAGAATAGTGATGAAACGAAAATATGCAATGTCATTTCGTAAATCGATTTCAAAATATTCTCATCCATTAAAAAGACATTTCTTTATTTAATCTAAAATTTCTTTTCTAAGAATAAGTAGCTTATTTGACATAAAACGATATAATGTCAAGAAATATATTAATTAGAACAGTAGAGTTGTTTCATTTTAACTTAAGAATGTTTAGCAGTTCACGTCTACAACTCAACATGAAATGGAAATTAACTCCACAAAATCACAACAACAATAATCATGAAACCATTAATTCCTAATTTCTGTGATCCAAGTTGAAAACTGTTCTTTACATCCAACCAGTTTAAGAACGAGACAGAAATCTACTGGTAGGTAACATTGTGTGAAAAATTCACAACATCAAAACTTACCTGAAATTAAAATTATGAACCAATTTATTCTTGCCTAATGTCCCCTTTGTATCACACGCTAATATACCTAAACATTTTGAGTCCACATCGTTACTGATGTTATAGTTCCATACTACATCAGAGTTCTAAATCATAAAGTAATATCTACTCAATGACCTTTAGTTAGCAATGGTTCTCTAGCATATATTAACTCGTGATAAAAAAACATGTAAAACCGACAAATTGTTTATATTGTAAATTTATGTACGATAGTAATATTGATATGAATCATTGTCTTACACAAAATTCTTTCTTCCCAATGCAGATAACAGAAAAAACTAGACTGTCAGCTTATATATTTTAAACTCATAATTCACATAATGAATGGTTATTTAAAGTATCAGACTACAACAGGCCACAAATATGAGGTCAAAATACATGCATAACCAGGGAATTTTTGATATAAACCTGATTAATATATCCTGGTAAATTAATTGTGATTAATAAATAAGAAATAGATATAGCCTAGTCTATATAAAAGTGCCGAGGGTCAACTGTTTATTATTATTACTAGGTGCTCGGAAGTAATTGTCGGAACACCCTGAACTTAGATATTCATCAAAAAGGCGTACCGGCAGGCATGAGAAAGCTGATATTTCCTGGTGGCTTGGTTATTCAGTTTCACAGTATAAGATATTACCACTAGGCTTTTGTAGTTGTGAGTGACTTCTTATAAGACTGAAATTTCTACATTAATTGGTTACTGAGAATTGAAAGTTATCTCCAGGACTTCGTCCAACCACTTAACATCAAAACGCAGTGCACGCAATGTCATTTCACGAAGACTAGTTGCCACAGTGCAGCTTGATAGCATTTGAATATCTCTTAACAAAGTGCTTTAACAAAATACCTTTGGATGACAATTCAAAATGATTTTACTTTTAGATTTAAAAATGTCTAGACTTCCTTAAAAATCGAATATACAATTTGCAAAGATCATAGGTTCTCATAGACATTCTAAACAAACATGATTATGTTTCTAATTAACGCGATTAATTTTTTTCTACATTTTAATTTTTCCATTAATCAAGTACACGCTTTTAATTGTGTCTAATAAATTAATATAAGATATCAAGTGTTGAAATTATTGAACAAATACAGTAAAGCAATAGACCGAAAAGAAAATGTAAATTTACTTCGTAAAATAAAACTGTAGGCGTATAGTGATGATGAGTCATAAATAACGGTATAAAAAGGGAAATAGCTTTTCAGAGTCATCCGCTTTCTAGAGTTTACACTTGCTTTGAACATTATACTTCGATAATAATAATAATAACAATAATAGTGCGAAAGTTCAAACTACTTTAAATAGATTCAGTAAACAATCCCTTTTATTGTTCCATTTCGAAATAAATTATTTAGACTTATGATGCTCTAAACCAATAATAATCTTACATAAATTCCGTTTTATCTAGAATGCACTTCACGTTCAAAAATATACATCCATTTAATAAATGGGTGTAAAATAAAATGTTTGATTTTCTAACATTCATTCAATAGTTGAGACTATGAGTCAATTAAAGCTAGATCACCATGAGAAACGTGGAAGCACTGGACGGTCGTTTTGTCTTATTATGGGACTCCTTAGCAGTGTGCATCCACGACCTCGCCCCCTGCGAGATTCGAACCCAGGAACTATCGGTCTCGCGCTAGCGCTTAACCTTTAGACCACTGAGCCGGCATCCAACGGTGTTAATGTTTAACTTCTACTAATCCACGAAATTGAGTGATACATCCACCATTGTCTTCAGTAAGTTACTATCTCACAACAGACCCGGTCGAACTCTACCGGTCACTGCTTCCCACTAGAACTCCAGGAAACACCTGGAGTATTTTCCTGTTCTTTTTTCTACATTTAGGCAGAAAATAGACTAATTTTTTAGAAAAACATCAACAAAGTATTATCTACAATAATTTTTGAAATGAATATCAACGCTGATTTTATTTTGATTGATGTTTTATACTATTGAACTTCTATGTTTATTATTATCATTATTATGTCTAAACAAACCAGCTAGACGTACTAATTGATAAGAGAAAAGTGTGTATATCTCTTGTGTACTTTTGTCTAAAAAATGTTCAATGGTTAAATTTTTCATTACAATCAGCATAGTATCATTAAGGAATAAAATAGTTACGGTTTTATTAAAGATAATGTTTTCATTACTGTCTGACATCAATAAAAACCTATGAGTATTGGACGGCTGTTTTCATTCTAATTTAAATCATCTCAGAAGTATATGACCATAAGGCCACAAGCGGTCGAACTCAAGACATCTAAGTATCATGAAGAGTATGGTACTTTTGAACTACTTTGTTAATATCCGGTGGTCTACATTACTAGGTTCAGTTAGTTCTCTACATAGTCCCACAATTATCTTAACTGTACCACTGTTCCAACACCATTGGAATCCGCCTGTCATTTTTTTTAAAAAGAAATCTATGAACTTGTCGTAAAGCTAACTATCTGTTCATATACTAAGAAAACTGAAACCTTTATGTCTCACAATAAGATTTTGTTTACTGAAGTTTAGCATCACTTTCGTATCATTTATGAATTTAGACACAAAATCGATCAGTATATCGTTTTAGATTCGTTTTTAGAATCTACACATTAATAATAATTTCACCTAATTTTGTATTCATCCGTGTGAAAATGATCCTCCATTTTATTCTTTTAAATGCGTATTTAACGACTTTAAGTATTATAAAAGTATAGCCTAAAAGTTGTTTATAAATATTTATTTCTTGCGCAATAATGAATACTAAGATATACAATAACAATTAGTGGTAATCATCCCCTCGAAGACATTTTTTCCTCTTCCTCATATGACTAATGCCTATTACGTAGTTGAATAGCCGAACAATTCAGTATAAGACAATTGGGGTTGAAAATTAAAGTCTTTGGGGTGGGGGGTTAAACATCAGTTTCTCAATGATTACACATTGGATTTACTAAGAAGTACTGATTAGCATATAATATTATATGCTATGAGAAAACCTCGTGTAGTGTTTCACACTTTTTAATGATTCTTCAGTGAATCGTATTCTGTGATGTAAATAATCCTTAAAATAAGACTACGTAACTTTTGCACAGTGAAATACGGTAAAATAAATTTTGAGACTTGAAAGACAGATTACAGTGATACGCTAAATGATTATCTTATTATATAATCATGTTCATTATTCTGATCTGAATGTGCATTGATCCGGCTTGTCATAAAGTTAAGAGTGTTACTAGTTAATTTAGAGACCTCGCGTTGTTCTGTTTCATTCTACTAGATTGAACTGAATTTTTTGTTCGACGTAATTTAAGAAATGGAAATCATTAATGTCAAATGTCTTTCTTTACGTGACACAATGAATGACAAGTAACAAAAGTAGTATGCTTTAAGAAACAAGAT